ATATCGCCCTTACAGAATGACGGGCCAATTGTAGTTTAAAGACTCACCAATAAAGCCCGGTATGGCGCCGAGACCACACCCAGCCACCTTTGTCTCTCCAGCGCTGATGGTCGCGCAGAGCGCCAGTAAACGGATGTGAGTTGTCGCCTGGGGCCTTTATTTTTAGCCAGTATCAAAGTACGAAAAATCAGAATAGGCGGATCTTTAAACAACACTTGGCAAAAAAAAGGCCCCGTGATAGAGCTGCTCACCCCGAGCATTGAATGCTCTGATACGCGTGGCATTGTCCTGGTACTGTTCGCCGTTTGGCGTTCTCTGGTCTAACACGGGTAGTGAGACTGGGCCCTAAAGAAGGCTGTCTCTGGTGTAGGCCAATCCGTTCCTAAGACAATTCACACATTTTGTTGTCGTTTGTTTGCATGTTCACCACAAGTACCGCGTGTGGTTAATGCAGTTCTTGATTCCTTGCAAAAAAAGTATCTGTTTGGTGTTTGAACATCTTAACACCACCTGTTTTAATCTTGATTTGAAGCTTTCGTGACTGCAGGAATCCATGCTCTTTGGTTCTTTCGAAAAAAGTCACGTGGGTAGGAAAAAATAATAGATCACGACGTTTCGATGCGCAACACAAGCAATCGTCATCAGGTGGGACAACCACAGCAAGACAACTGCTGAAGCAAACTGCTGACGTTGTGATGTATTATTCTTTCTACCTACGTTACTTCAGCAGTTTGTATTCTTGGTTCTTTCGGTAAAGTCACCACGTAGAAAGGGAAACAATAAAATAATAAAAATATAAAACAATAAAATTATCACGACGTTTCGACTGCAACACAAGCAATCATCATGAGGTGCGAAAACCACAGCAAGAAAATTTGAAAAAAGTGGCGGGTTTTTTCTTAACGTTAGCACCACGGACAGCAACTGGCGGTTGTTCAGATGGACGAGTCCATCTATTTTTTTATTTAAAGCTTTCGTGACTGCAGGGATTCATAATCTTGGTTCTTTCGGTAAAGTCACACCTGATGATGATTGCTTGTGTTGCAGTCGAAACGTCGTGAGAATTTTATTGTTTTGTATTTTTATTATTTTATTGTTTCCCTTCTACGTGACTTTACCGAAAGAACAAATAATACGAGTCCATCTATGTTCGGAACGGAGGAGGGGGGAGAGAAGAGAATGGAATGCGGTCTGAAAGTCACCGTAAGCGTGAACACAATCAATTAAGACCCGAAATGGTTTATCAAATCCTTCCAATGATTGCTAAGCCAGAATCCGTCTTCTCGGTTGAAATGGTCTCTGTGTTTGTATATGTGGATAGCCTCATGAACGAATCTCTCATGGTAGCCGGATGGCTTGCAGAGAACCTCTGTCTTGGAGAAGTCAATGTCATGTGAGCCTACTGAATTATAACAGTGACCTGGCACGGCCGAGGTGTTGGTCCTACCGTGTTTTCGGTCTGCTTTGTGTTCACGAATGCGGTCCGAGACATATCGTTTGGTTTCTCCAATGTAAGTTCTACCACAGAGGCAACTTAGTTTGTAGACGCCAGGGTACTCTATATCCGGAATCACATCTTTTACAGACGGAACCAGATCACGGATTTTATGTAATGTGTTGAATCGGACCTGGATCTTGTGTTTATTTTTTTTATTGTTTCCCTTCTACGTGACTTTACCGAAAGAACTAAGAAGATGAATCCCTGCAGTCACGAAAGCTTTAAATAAAAATGCAGCATACTCTTTGGTTCTATTGGGTAAAGTCACGTAGGTAAAAAATAAAATAACAAAAATCACGACGTTTCGGCCACAACACAAGCGGCCTTCATCAGGTGAAGGGACGAGACTGTCTGGAGGACAACGCTGGAGTGAAAAAAGCCACGCTCAGATCACGACCTTTAAGCTGTTTGAGAAGAAACAAAGCGCCTTGACAAAGGAATTAGCATATAATTTAGCATTGAAATGGCAGACGTTTGCTTCAGCTGTTTTCTTGCTGTGGTTGTCTCACCTGATGACGATTGCTTGTGTTGAGATCGAAACGTTGTGATCTATTATTTTTTCTACCTCCTGCCTTATTGCCAGCTAATGGTAGAACCTATTCTTATCTTGAAGGGCGTGTTTTCGGTTGCTCAATGTGTGATCCCTGAGCGTGTACACGCGTGCGAGCCTGTGAAACACACAAATGAACACACCTCACCATATGAGGTGGAGACGTCTCGTCTCCCGTAACGCGGTCTGTGTGCCTTGCAATTGTCCGGTTGCCTTTTGGGTGTGACCCTCTTTAGCCCGAGGCACTTCCGTTGATTCCACAGAAACCTGAGCAATTGAGGCCGAGTCAGCCTAGGAGAGGGACGGCCGTCACCGTGTAATCAGTGGCTTGTGGCGCGCGTGACTCGTTGGCTCCATCAGATCTCGAGGCGTGGCAGTTTAAACGATCTTGAAAAAAGCCCTCGAATTTCCTCCCCCCCGCCTCGCCCGTCTCGCTTCACCCAGCAGTCGATAGGCACATCCCATTCGGGTGTGGCAGAGCGTGGGTAACGCTCACCTCATCCAGCGTGCAGACGGTGAGGCCACGGGCCCTCGAGAGAAAGGGGTCGGCAGCCTGCGGCTCTGGGGGTCCAGTTTATCATGCGAGTCCAGTTCACCATGGGGGTCCAGTAAACCATGGGGGTCCAGTTTACCATGGGGGTCCAGTTCACCATGGGAGTCCAGTTCACCGTGGAAGTCCAGTTCACCACGGGAGTGCAGTTTACCATGGGAGTGCAGTTCACCACGGAAGTCCAGTTAACCATGGGAGTCCAGTTTACCATGGGAGTGCAGTTCACCATGGGAGTCCAGTTTACCACGGAAGTCCAGTTCACCATGGGAGTCCAGTTTACCATGGGAGTGCAGTTCACCATTGGGGTCCAGTTTACCACGGAAGTCCAGTTTACTATGGGAGTCCAGTTCACCGTGGAAGTCCAGTTTACCATGGGGGTCCAGTTTACCATGGGAGTCCATTTTACCACAGAAGTCCAGTTTACTATGGGAGTCCAGTTTACCATGGGAGTCCAGTTCACCATGGGGGTCCAGTTTACCATGGGAGTCCATTTTACCACGGAAGTCTAGTTTACTATGGGAGTCCAGTTTAGCACGGAAGTCCAGTTCATCATGGGGGTCTAGTTTACCACGGAAGTCCAGTTCACCGTGGAAGTCCAGCTTACCACAGGACTGTTTCCTGACGTTATTTATTAAGAACCACCGCCGTCTCGTATTCACCAACATGCCTTGCGGCTCTCTTGAAACATTTATGGTGTTTTTTTTGTTACCGAATTTTTGTTTTAAATGTCGCTTCTTGTTGGTCTGATCTCGAGGGTTCCTCCCTAGCGTTCTCTCTAGAAGTAGCCCTTCCGCCAGCAAGCGGCGTGAGTGAGGAATTGCAGTGCTGCGCCTTTGCCTCTCCCACCCCGTAGGAGACAAGAAAAAACCCCGGGACAAATTCCGACATAACACCGCCACTGATGTTAGCCGTGGCCAGGAATCGCACTCAGGTTTGTAGGGAAACACACTGCACAAAGACAAAAAAAATCCCCCTCATAGCCTCAACAGACTGTTAGGGCAGGTGCTGTTAGCGAGCACCTATGAAGGCCGGAACGGCACACGAGAGAGTGGGTTGGCCAGCACCACGCCCGGCCGCCTTTGTCTCCCCAACGGCGATGTTTACACACCGCACCAGGTACTCAACTGAGGCTGAGTGAAGCTAAGGGGAGGCCCAGGACCGCTTCAGATAATCGTCACCGGTGCTGGCCATGAGCACGATCCGAACTCGGGCCCTCGGGATCTGTAGAAGCAGCGCGCTGACCGCTGCACCGCCACTCCCCACACCATCGCCCGTCAATGCAACCTTTGTACCCAGATGAAGCCTTGTCCTCCTTCAGCCCCTTTTTCTCCAAATGAGCCGTCTTGAGATCACACACCCGCTGATGTGTCATCTGGAGTTGCTCATTCCAGCAGGATCTGGCAAGACAAACGGACCGCTCGGATTGCCAGATCGCGCTCACCGCGATGCGCTACGAATCCGGCGACCCGAATTCGATTCCCGGGCAAGGTCAAAACCCGTGACGATGACCTGAACCGGTCCTGGGCCTCCTCCCCTAGGTCGACTCGGCCTCAAACGAGTACCTGGTGCGGTGTGTAAACATCGCCACTGGGGAGACAAAGGCGGCCGGGCGTGGTGCTCGGCACCCACCCCCTCGTGTACCTTCACAGGTGCTGCTCGCTAACAGCACCTGCCCCAGCAGTCTGTTACAGGCTACACGGGGGGATCTTTGTCTTTGTGGCCTTAAAAGAAAAAATAAAACATTGGCGACGTTTTGGTAAATTAATCCTCTTCATTGCACGTGGTATGTTTGTATAGATTGCCTTTTCTCTCTTCGTGTGACTGTTGAACAGCCCTCGGCACGATCACGCCACACACCCACTGCATACTCCCAGGCAGTGCCGGACGAAGCTAGTGCTGGGCCTGCAGCATTTGTTATAAAGGGGCCTAAAATAAAAAAAAATAAAACGTAAATAATAAAACACACATTGTTTAACTTGCATAATAAAGTCATTGTATTTTTTTTCATTTGCTATACAGCCAGATAATACGACAAATCGCTAACCTTGAACACTCAGTCGTTCATAAAAGTTGAAGGCGGTATAGTACTATAGTAATAGAGCAAGTGCAGAATTACTGAACCGGAATTGATAGCCTGAAAGCATTTAACGCGGGGCCCTTGAAAGTGCGAGGCCCGTATCTACTACACATGTAGTAGATACTACTACATAATAGTAGTTGCTACTACTCCATATGTAGCTATTTTTGCTACTCGGATAATCCGGCACTGGTAGCAGGTATCGCTCTCTCTCTCTCACGCTCGCTCTCTCTCTCTCTCTCTTCCGTCTCCCCGGGAACCATCCCGAAACGCCCCGCTCACCACTCCCTGCCCTGCGGCCAGCTCAGCCCCCTCACCTGCCCTTCCTCCCCGCACTGCCGCGCCCTCACCCACCCCCACTCCCCTGGACTCACCTGGTCCACGCGCACTCTACACCTGTACACCCGGCTGCAGGCTAACAGCACAGGTACGAGACTCTCTCCGTCTCGCTCGCTCTCTCTCTCTCTCTCTGGACGCAACCTGGTTTGTCACACTGCTCCACAGCCCCGTCCAGTGTGTCTCTGTGTATGTATGTTGACATACTGTCGCGCCGTACGGTGCCCACCGTGTTCATCGGAGGTGCAGGGGAAGGACGACAAACTATGGGGCTCGGTGTGAGTCTATGGGTCTCTGTGTGAGTCTGTGGGTCTCTGTGTGAGTCTATGGGTCTCTGTGTGAGTCTATGGGTCTCTGTGTGAGTCTATGGGTCTCTGTGTGAGTCTATGGGTCTCTGTGTGAGTCTATGGGTCTCTGTGTGAGTCTATGGGTCTCTGTGTTAGTCTGTGGGTCTCTGTGTGAGTCTATGGGTCTCTGTGTTAGTCTATTGGTCTCTGTGTGAGTCTATTGGTCTCAATGTGAGTCTATGGGTCTCAGTGTGAGTCTATGGGTCTCGGTGTGAGTCTATGGGTCTCGGTGTGAGTCTATGGGTCTCTGAGTGAGTCTATGGGTCTCGGTGTGAGTCTATTGGTCTCAGTGTGAGTCTATGGGTCTCTGTGTCAGTCTGTAGGTCTCTGTGTGAGTCTATGTGTCTCTGTGTGAGTCTATGGGTCTCTGTGTGAGTCTATGCGTCTCTGTGTGAGTCTATGGGTCTCTGTGTGAGTCTGTGTGTTTCTCTGTGAGTCTATGCGTGTATGTTGAGCTTCTTTCGCACCGTATGTAGCCAACCGTGCTCTCCCGAGGTGCAGGGTAAGGATAAAAAGACACTAAACACAAAATAAATTGTTCTAAAGAAGTGAGCTTTCAATCTCGATGTAAAAGCGGCTTCGTAATATCGTAAGGAAGAGCGTTCCAGAGGGTCGTTATCTGTGTACGAGCGGGATAACGGAATCTCCCTCGCCTGCTATGCAGGAGGCACGTGGGCTCGATCAAGAACCCTGGCGGCACTGGCGGAGCCAGTGGGGGGGGTGGCACGTGCCCCCCCCCCCCCCCCCCCCCCCAATGATCCGATCGAAATCCCTTATTTCGATTAGTGTGTGACAAAGCAGGTTGCGTCAAAATCCCTAATTTCGATCGGATCATTTTGGATTATTAGCAATAAATCGGCCGACCACCACTGCAAATGCGTAGCATATTATTACGTGGCCAGTGACTCTATGAGATGATAGGACAATAGTCTGAGCCCGTAATTGGCAATAAAGTAACGGCAAAGCGGTTGTTATAAGCGACTCGCAGAATTGTGCGCAGTTGCGTCTACAGTACACGACTTCCCTGAAGGCATCAGCACCTTCAGCGAGCGCGGTGCCGATCACTAACAACGCGGTTCGAATTTGACCCCTCGATCGATGTCTGCGCCATCGCCGCACAGGCGTCGAATAAAAAGCAAGGGACAAGTCCTTACTTACTAACAACTCCTTACTTACTAACAACTCCTTACTCACTAACAACTCCTTACTTACTAACAACTACTCTATCATTTCTCATTGCTGGAGGGGTTGCCCCCCTACCTGAAAATCTGCCTGGCGATGCCTGTTGGTGTTTGTTCTCTGTGTATGTCCTCTGTGTATGTTCTCTGTTCTCTGTGTATGTTATCTGTGTATGTCTCTGTGTATGTTCTCTGTGTATGTCCTCTGTGTATGTTCTCTGTGTTTGTTCTCTGTGTATGTTCTCTGTGTATGTTCTCTGTTCTCTGTGTATGTCTCTGTGTATGTCTCTGTGTATGTTCTCTGTGTATGTCCTCTGTGTATGTTCTCTGTGTTTGTTCTCTGTGTATGTTCTCTGTGTATGTTCTCTGTTCTCTGTGTATGTCTCTGTGTATGTTCTCTGTGTATGTCCTCTGTGTATGTTCTCTGTTCTCTGTGTATGTTCTCTGTTCTCTGTGTATGGTCTTTGTGTATGTTCTCTGTGTATGTTCTCTGTTCTCTGTGTATGTTCTCTGTGTATGTTCTCTGTGTATCTTCTCTGTTCTCTGTGTTTGTTCTCTGTGTATGTTCTCTGTGTATGTTCTCTGTTCTCTGTGTATGTTCTCTGTGTATGTTCTCTGTGTATGTTCTCTGTTCTCTGTGTATGTTCTCTGTGTATGTCCTCTGTGTATGTCCTCTGTGTATGTTCTCTGTGTATGTTCTCTGTGTATGTTCTCTGTTCTCTGTGTATGTTCTCTGTTCTCTGTGTATGTTCTCTGTGTATGTTCTCTGTTCTCTGTGTTTGTTCTCTGTGTATGTTCTCTGTGTATGTTCTCTGTGTATGTTCTCTGTTCTCTGTGTATGTTCTCTGTGTATGTTCTCTGTTCTCTGTGTTTGTTCTCTGTGTATGTTCTCTGTGTATGTTCTCTGTGTATGTTCTCTGTTCTCTGTGTATGTTCTCTGTGTATGTCCTCTGTGTATGTTCTCTGTGTATGTTCTCTGTGTATGTTCTCTGTTCTCTGTGTATGTTCTCTGTGTATGTTCTCTGTGTATGTTCTCTGTTCTCTGTGTATGTTCTCTGTGTATGTTCTCTGTTCTCTGTGTATGTTCTCTGTGTTTGTTCTCTGTGTATGTTCTCTGTTCTCTGTGTATGTTCTCTGTGTATGTTCTCTGTGTATGTTCTCTGTTCTCTGTGTATGTTCTCTGTGTATGTTCTCTGTGTATGTTCTCTGTTCTCTGTGTATGTTCTCTGTGTATGTTCTCTGTTCTCTGTGTATGTTCTCTGTGTATGTTCTCTGTTCTCTGTGTATGTTCTCTGTGTATGTTCTCTGTTCTCTGTGTATGTTCTCTGTGTTTGTTCTCTGTGTATGTTCTCTGTTCTCTGTGTATGTTCTCTGTGTATGTTCTCTGTGTATGTTCTCTGTTCTCTGTGTATGTTCTCTGTTCTCTGTGTATGTTCTCTGTGTATGTTCTCTGTGTATGTCCTCTGTTTATGTCCTCTGTGTATGTTCTCTGTTCTCTGTGTATGTTCTCTGTGTATGTTCTCTGTGTTTGTTCTCTGTGTATGTTCTCTGTTCTCTGTGTATGTTCTCTGTGGATGTTCTCTGTGTATGTCCTCTGTGTATGTTCTCTGTTCTCTGTGTATGTTCTCTGTGTATGTTCTCTGTGTATGTCCTCTGTTCTTTGTGTATGTTCTCTGTTCTCTGTGTTTGTTCTCTGTGTATGTTCTCTGTGTTTGTTCTCTGTGTATGTCCTCTGTGTATGTTCTCTGTGTATGTTCTCTGTGTATGTTCTCTGTGTATGTTCTCTGTTCTCTGTGTATGTTCTCTGTGTATGTTCTCTGTTCTCTGTGTATGTTCTCTGTGTTTGTTCTCTGTGTATGTTCTCTGTTCTCTGTGTATGTTCTGTGTATGTTCTCTGTGTATGTTCTCTGTTCTCTGTGTATGTTCTCTGTGTATGTTCTCTGTTCTCTGTGTATGTTCTCTGTGTATGTTCTCTGTTCTCTGTGTATGTTCTCTGTGTTTGTTCTCTGTGTATGTTCTCTGTTCTCTGTGTATGTTCTCTGTGTATGTTCTCTGTGTATGTTCTCTGTGTATGTTCTCTGTTCTCTGTGTATGTTCTCTGTGTATGTTCTCTGTGTATGTTCTCTGTTCTCTGTGTATGTTCTCTGTGTATGTTCTCTGTTCTCTGTGTATGTTCTCTGTGTTTGTCCTCTGTGTATGTCCTCTGTGTATGTTCTCTGTTCTCTGTGTATGTTCTCTGTGTATGTTCTCTGTGTATGTTCTCTGTGTTTGTTCTCTGTGTATCTTCTCTGTTCTCTGTGTATGTTCTCTGTGTATGTTCTCTGTGTATGTTCTCTGTATATGTTCTCTGTGTATGTTCTCTGTTCTCCGTGTATGTTCTCTGTGTATGTTCTCTGTGTATGTCCTCTGTGTATGTTCTCTGTTCTCTGTGTATGTTCTCTGTGTATGTTCTCTGTGTATGTTCTCTGTGTTTGTTCTCTGTGTATCTTCTCTGTTCTCTGTGTATGTTCTCTGTGTATGTTCTCTGTGTATGTTCTCTGTGTATGTTCTCTGTGTATGTTCTCTGTTCTCTGTGTATGTTCTCTGTGTATGTTCTCTGTGTTTGTTCTCTGTGTATCTTCTCTGTTCTCTGTGTATGTTCTCTGTGTATGTTCTCTGTGTATGTTCTCTGTGTATGTTCTCTGTTCTCTGTGTATGTTCTCTGTGTATGTTCTCTGTTCTCTGTGTATGTTCTCTGTGTATGTTCTCTGTGTATGTTCTCTGTGTTTGTTCTCTGTGTATCTTCTCTGTTCTCTGTGTATGTTCTCTGTGTATGTTCTCTGTGTATGTTCTCTGTGTATGTTCTCTGTGTATGTTCTCTGTTCTCTGTGTATGTTCTCTGTGTATGTTCTCTGTGTATGTCCTCTGTGTATGTTCTCTGTTCTCTGTGTATGTTCTCTGTGTATGTTCTCTGTTCTCTGTGTATGTTCTCTGTTCTCTGTGTATGTTCTCTGTGTATGTTCTCTGTGTATGTTCTCTGTTCTCTGTGTATGGTCTCTGTTCTCTGTCTCTCTCTCCCCCCGTGGTGATCGCGTGGATTTTTCTTCAAGCTCCTCCGGTGTTGCTCTCCTCCCCCCCCAACACCACTCATCCATGCACATTCAGAAACAACACGCGTTTAGATTATCTAAATTCTGCAAATAAATTCCCAAGTGTGGTGGTGGTAGTGGTGACAATGATGATAATGACGATGATGATCTCAGAAATTGTCGATGAGCAGCTATCATTGTGACATTGTGGTCAGGTCACCTCTGAAAAAAGAGCTCACTTAGCTCACTGGGCTTGTATATCCGGCAAATAAAATAGTGGTGTATAACTGATTTGAAGCTATCGTGACTGCAGTAATCCATACTCTTTGGTTCTTTCGGTAAAGTCACGTAACTCATCGGATTCCTCCAGTGTAAAATATTCTGCTTCTGATTCGAACAGAAGATTGTGCATTATTATTATTGACATTGCGTGTATTTAAAATATGGCATCGGTTCGATTCACATGGGTGTTTGTATTGACCGTGCATAGCGTCTGAT